GCTGGGGATGTTGTCGTTCGTGCAGACGCCCTCGGAGAGAAGCCCGGATCTCCAGGCGAAGATCGAGGGCACTCGCGCTTGTAGTCCGCGATCTTGGTGACCACGTGAGGCGTCGCCACTCGGGGCTTGGAGCCGCCGATGGCCCGGGGCTTGATGGAGCCCGTCTCGTAGTACCTGCCGGAGAGGAAGAAGGAGGGGCGGGTCAGGAGGGGCGTCCTCGCAAGGCCTTCGGTGCTGCTAAAAGGCTCTGATATATGACTGATCTATTGGAACCTTGCATGCGAAGTGAGGAGACGAAAAGCTTGGTTTCCACGGGACTTAATCTCTAGTGTCTATAGCGACCCACTGGCTCCGGAATGCACAGACCTTCCGGCAGTGACTTTACGCTAACGGGGCAAGGGAACTGAAACACAAAATCCTCGCTCGGCCACGCTGCAGGGAGAAGAGGAACGAACTAACGTTTGTGGGCTTTGTAAATCCCCCTGGGGCGGGGCAGGCGCCAGACAGCAAACCTCTCCTCGGTGCTTTGTGGCTTTTGAGTGGTAAGTTACAAGCGAACGTCAGTGTCTTCTCCTAAGAATGCAAAAAAAAAGGAAAAAATAAGAACTCAACATGTAAAGTCACCAAAACTCCTGTCTCGGGGGAGAAAAAATATGTCCTAACTGCAATATCAGAAGCCTTCGCACGGACCCGAGCGGGCGTACCTGGCCAGGATCTTGGAGACGCAGCCATTGGACACCTGGAGAATGCGGGAGATGTCGCAAGGCCTGGCGCCCGAGTGGGCCAGCTCCACGATCTTCTGCCGCGTGGAGTCGGGTAGGGGGCGCCCATTCACATACACGCCCCCCAGTTGGTTTATGCCGCTGTGGCCTGCAAGGAGACACCAGAGAGCTCGGGGTTAGGAGACAGCAGGCCGCGGACACTCACCTAGCCAGAATCTTGGACACACAGCCATTGGACACTTGGAGGATGCGGGAGATGTCGCAGGAACGCACGCCAGAGTGGGCCATCTCTACGATCTTGTGGCGGATGTGGTCCGGCAGCGGCCGCCCGTTGACGTACACGCCGCCCATCTGGTTGACGCCCGTACCTCCTGCAAGTACACTAGGTCAGACACACGCCCACGCGCCGAACTCACTCACGCCCACACGCCCATCCAAGGGATGAACGACGTCACCAACTTTAGGAAGGAAGGAGGAGGAGAACACTACAATAAATAAATACACTACAATAAACACTACAATAATAAATCACAAAGGAGAATCAGGAGGAGGAGGAGGAGGAGGAGGCTGAGAGGCAGGGGGAGCGAGCCCGGCATGCTTAGGGTCTCCTACGAGCTATTCACGTCTAAGACATCGACGCCTGCACGAGAGGACGCGGACTCCAAGGCGCTCCAGCCGGCCCTCGGAGTCTCGCCATGGACCCAGAGGCGCTCCCCTGAGGCTCGGAAGCACTTGGAATGCTCGTTTTGGTGTTGCGAGAGATGCGAGTGATTTTTTCGGGGTGTGATTGAGTGTCGTAAAGGATATTATTGTTGGATTTTGGATTCCCGGTCTTATAGGCATACTTGTTGATGATGCGTGGTTTGTTCAGGTCCATATATATATATATATACAGTAGACTCTGAGAGAAGCGAAAGTGGGGGTAAAGATTTTGAAGGACAGCTGCAGGTCGATGTACGTATA